AGCCAGGTTTCTTGACTCCCAGTGCCAAAAATTAGCCCGTTGGCCACACTGCCTGAATGAGGCATCCATGCTGCAGCTGTAACTCCAGAGCCTTGCCGTAAGCCAGCAGTATAGTCCATCTCCGCTACAAGCATTAGCCAAGGACTTTGCAATTGGTGTATGCATGGGAGCCTTCCTTCCTGAGCGGGCTTCTAAGAGATAAATTGACCTGGGGACGTGGCTGGTCCTTTGGGACTGGAAGAACCTTTTTAGTTTTTGAGATTGGTTTTCCTCTCTCTCATCTCACCAGGGACGGTCTTGGTGGTGACCCGGAGAGCTGGCGGGTCCGAGGGAACGGTCGTAGGACTCCGTTAGCCAGCGTGGTGATCAGACGGGCTGGAGGGGGAGACCAGCCCCACCAGCCAGCAACAGCCCGCCCTCTCCCATTGCTCACTATTGTCAAGCAGGTCAGCCATGGTGTGGTCGCTTGTGGCCCGAGCCCCACGTACCACTTGGGACTAAACCGAGAACGGCCCTCCCCGGTGGGTTGCAGGGCTGGCTGCTCCAAGAAGCAGCGAGTCAGACACGGCGTCGAGACCTTTGGCCTCTGCGTCACGGCCCGAGGTGGCATTCGCCGGCTCCATAGGACGACAGTGACGTTACCCATTACCACCGTTCTGCTTTTACAGCTGCCAGGACCCGAGCAAGGGCACTCGGGGGCAACTGCCGAAGCAGGCTCAACTCTGAGGCTGGGAGCAGTCGAGACCTTTGTAGTCGGGTTCCAGGTCATGGTCAGCACCAAGGGTCTGGATGCAAAGTCCAGCTCAAGCCAGGCGCTGGAATTGTCATAACAAGACCCACACCGCTACCTGAACGCTTCCTGCAACGCCCTGCTCTAGATAGGGCAGGGAGCCAATCAGGAGCCATGAGGCTGCTGCTTGTCAGAGTCCTTGAGGCGGGACTTTCCATGGTCTGTGTCCACAGCTGATCACAAGGTGTGACGTACCAGCAAGCTCCCGTGGCTGTGAGATGCTCTGTGGCTTTGCAAGTCTGGGGTTCTAGACCTGCTGGGGCCTCTCGGACGTGCTTTCATCTCCTTTGGTATTTTGCCAGCTGTGCTCTTCCTAGTCAAGCCTGGAAGTTCTGTCCCTAGAGGCTACCACGGCGTGCTTGTTCCATCTTGGAGTTTGGACTCTGAGCTGTTTTAACACCTGGGGCCACTCCCCCAGCAGCAAAAACGACTCTGTCCTTCTGGTATATTTCGTATCTTGGCACCGAGTCCAAATGATCGTCCTCGTTCTGCCAAGCGTCCATGACGCCTACTACAGCAATAGCCTCATGCTGTATCAGCCACTTGAGTGCCCCCATCTTAGTCATTTGGTTTGCAGCATTGGTATGTTTTGTCAGAATCAGTCGCTTCCTTGGTTTTTGATGGTTCCTCATCAGCGCCTGCCTGGACTTTATCAGCTTCTTTCTGAGCCTCTCTCTTAGGATATAGACTTCCTCCTTTGACAAGTTCAGCCCTAAGGAATGTCTCCCCACACCTGCTGGCTTTCCCTCAGCCCTTAGTTTAAAAAATCCCCAACCGAGTGTTTCATTTTACATGCCAGCAATTGGGCTCCGGTTTGGCTCCATCCTCTCTGTGTAGGCTCCTCCTTTCCCAAACAGTTCCCCAGTTCCTACGAAATGTAACCCGGCCCTCCCTACACCATTGTCTCATCCATGCAAGGAAAGCCCGCTGCTGTGCCTGTGTAGCTGGGCTGGCCCGTGGAACGGGAAGCGTTTCAGAGAACGCTACCACGGAGGTCCTGGAGTTCAACTCGGAGGGGGCGTCTACACTGCCAATTGTGTATCTTATTTCGGTCTACTTTAGCAGTAAAGCGCTATTCCGAAACGTCCCTTAACTCTTGTGGACTGAGGGTTCCAGGGACGTCGGCATAGCGAGCCCATCATTTCAATAGCTACTTTGAAACAATGGGCTGGTTTAAAAGACGTGGAATCGCTCTTTTGGGATCCCTCCAGTACCCTGAAATAGCACTACAGTCTAGGGGTACCCTTACTGAGCAGCTGAAATGTGGCCAACTTGGGGTACGCGTTCTCCCAGGGGGTATGAGAAGCTTCTCAAGAGGGTATGGGGAATATTTGGTAAATAACTAGATTATCCTAATTGAAATATTCCAAAAGGAGTAGTGAGAGTGAAAAAAGTTGTGGATTCTAGAGTCTAGAATGTATTTCCTTTCCTATGGAAGGGGGTACGGGAAGGTTTACTAAAAGCCAAGGGGGTACGGGGACCGAAAAAGGTTGGGAACCCCTGGTCTAGAACCTCACTCCTATATTTCTTTAGGTCACTGGTCCTACGTGTACAGCAACTCGGGGCTTCTCCTTGGCCCTACAACTCTGTCTAGCTATCTTGTGGGATCTGCAACCTTCTCACCTGGCAGGCAAGCCACCATGCGGTTCTCCCAGTCGCCGCAAAGCCAGCTGTCTACATTTCTGCTAACTGAATTCCCCGGGACTAGCACCGAGCTCTTCCTGGGGACTGGGGTCCCCTCCCCCTGATGGGTGATTTCAGAGCAAGAGGATTCCATGACATCCTGCGGAAGGGGGTCCCAGTTATGGCCCAGCCCTGCTTCCTCCTGGACAGTCTCTGTCACAGAAGCATGGAAGATTAGGGCTGGAAGGGACCTCAGGAGGCATCTAGTCCAGCCCCCTGGCCAAGGCAGGACTGATCCCACCTAAACCAACCCACTCAGGGCTTTGTCAAGCCTGGCCTTAAACACCTCTGGGGTGGAGAGTCCACCCCCTCCCTAGGGAACCCAGCCCACCCTGCTTCCTCCTGGACAGTCTCTGTCACAGAAGCATGGAAGATTAGGGCTGGAAGGGACCTCAGGAGGCATCTAGTCCAGCCCCCTGGCCAAGGCAGGACTGATCCCACCTAAACCAACCCACTCAGGGCTTTGTCAAGCCTGGCCTTAAACACCTCTGGGGTGGAGAGTCCACCCCCTCCCTAGGGAACCCAGCCCAGCGCTTCACCACCCGCCTAGGGAAATAGCTTTTCCTAATGTCCAACCTAGACCTCCCCCACTGCAACTTGAGCCCATTGCTCCTTGTT